ACTATTCAAAAAGTTTCACAAGAATGCTGGGTTGTGAACAAAACTTTCGCCCCAGGCGGGACTAGAACCCGCACCTCTCGCTTTCCGGGCAAGTGCGCTACCAGTTACGCTACCGGGGCACCATTTCATTCCAACTCAGCTTTTCATGGTATACGTACCATAGCTTCTTCTAGTCCCGCCTGGGGCGAAAGTTTTGTTCACAACCCAGCATTCTTGTGAAACATTCGCAACGCGAACTGCGGCGTTAAAACAGCAGTTAACAAACAAAACAAGACTATTCAGAAAATCGTTTAGCAGATTTAAAGACATATGAAATCAGCGTTCAAAAGCGCAAATAGAAATATCAGTATCAATAGCTACATAATATCTATGCAAATAGCTATATCATCTCGAGTGGCCATGGCGACCTGGAAGGCTTTCGTTGTTCGATGCCACTGCAGCTCTGAGTAGGCACAAAATGCACTGCGCATTACAGCACCAAGGAATTGGTCGGCGCCGAATTTTCAGCTCCTTCTACCACTTTTGTTTCGTGAATGGTTTTTGTAATATTGGTAATCGCTTCATCAACAGGTGGCCCGTGCTCATATATCAGGTGTGCGCATAAAATTGCATGGCCATCGTCTTTGACGAATAGCTTTTCAATTCGCGTGAATCCGGTCGCAGTTCAAGTTCAGTTGCTGAAATGGCGATGGCCAGTGGGAGACGCCGGTTTACGGCCTGTGGTTCGACGGCGTTTTTTGCCGACGATGCACCGGTACGAAAACAACGTGGGAGACAGAGAGGCGAACCGGCCGGTTGATAGATAACAACGGTCCGCCATGTACTTGCCGCCGTTGATTTCCAGTCTTTTCGTGAAATGGGCGTGGCCAGGCGTGGTGAGAATTGCTCTACCACGCGTTCGGCTTCTCAGTCGGCCACGATGACTTCGGCACATGCAGCTGCTTACGCAGCCATCGGACTTTCCTCGATATGTGTCCTTGTTACCGTATTCTATATGCCAATGTTCCTCTCGAAAGTGCAATCCATCCAGGACCGTCTGTCAAGGAACATGGATGAGTTTAATGTAATGCAGGTAGGTCTTATTAGGGCTGTGGAACAGTGTGCCTGTGTTCAGCAAGGTGAGCTTTGAATAAAGAATAACGATTTTCAGACGGAGATCTGGAGTGACCTGCAGCATGCAAAGAACGAGTCTCCAGTTCGTAAGGTCACCAAACGTCAAGTGGAAGGCGAATGCGGTAAGGAAAAAAGCAGCCTCGAGAGAGAGCTAATACGGCATAATTAGGTTTTATTGACCGAATTGGAACCTGGTGAGTCTCCCAGCAAATCCCGCCTGAGATAGAGAGGAGCTTGGTGAATGCGTTTACGCGCTCGTTTGTTTGATAAGACGATCGTCTGGGAGAGCTGCTGTGTAGACGAAAGTGGATAGGAGTTGTGAGGGATGGACGGAGTGAGGATCTAGGGAATCGCAAAACCAGATTTTCCTTAGCTACAACCGGTAACTCACTAGTGCTCCATACCCAGCTCACTTTATAGTCCCGCTAGTAGGCTTAAAGCTCCAAAAGTAAGGTAAGAAGAGCTGTGGTAACGATGGAATCGTTTTGGAATGAATTCGATCACTAAGCAGAACAGCAGTGTGCTTTTATGCAGTTGGTATGGAAAAAAGCTGTTTATGTCTGTTTGCTGTTTTTGTAGAGTAGTCGGAGCTGGAATATTATATCGCCAACGGCTCCTGGTAAAGAAAACCGAATTTCGACTGCATCAAAGTTAAGTTCCACAGAAATGCGGTTTGTATACAAGTGAGCTAGCCTGTTGGAAATAAAGCATGCTGCAAAAGGATCAGTTCGCCAAAGCGTGCTTCAGTACTCGGCTCGTTACCCTCTGCCAAGTATGAGGGGTCTAACGGCACTACCTACTACTTGGCACTACTCTCACCTCTGCCAGTGCAAGATGCATAAATATTGTGGGTAGGAAGTACCAAAAGCCTAAACGTAGACTGTTGTAACCTTTACTGGTTTGAACAGTAGGTTTTCAAGTACTTAAAAGGGCTGATCGGGTATTCCAGGATCTTTCTCTTGGCTCGCTAACCGCTGGACACGGGGTTCGTGATTCGAGCAATTGAGACAATAATAATGGCACCACTGCAAGGCGTTTCTTTTGCTCATCGACCAAGTGTTCCCTTCCTGATGAGTCCTGATGGGTCCTGAACTTGAGTGGGAGTCGAGGGTTTGGCGCGATCTGATTTTCATAGTCTTAGATAAGTAGAAGCACAACGACTGTAGCCGAATGAACTGAGCAGCGATGAACTTTTATGCAGGCGAAGACTTCGGCAAGCAGAGGTTATGTAAGCTTAGCCTGAGGAGTTAACTGACAAGTACGAACTTCTTAGAAATGTAAGCATGACTGTCCGGTTAACTAGTAGATACGCGAAAGCCAAGTAAAAACTCTAACCATAGAGAATAAATCTTGTTGCAATCTGCAGCAGGAAGCAAGGCTTGGCTTATGCTTGTAGAACAGGTCGTTCTTGTTCAGTTCTTTCTTCAAAAGCAGTCACGAAGACTAACGGTTACTCTTTTTGTTGTCGTAACGATGCTGAGTTATGGGCTGGTTTATGCCTCTCTGGGCAGGTCTTCGGTAATTAATCTGTCTTCTGGGTATGGGAGGTGTGTCGGAGGCAAGCTAGGTGAGGTGCTCATCTCCCGTGCACTATACATTATTAATTGGTAGAGAGATATAGGAATTATTTCTCACCTTGATGTACTCTGTGAGTGACAATAGCTACCCATTAGTGCGCACTTGGATATGCAAATCATTTGCAGACTGCAGCACAGAGAACACTTGCCCGCCAGGTGAGAAAGGTCGTCCAGGCTTTGATGGGATGGACGGCGTTCCCGGCCAACCAGGAACGCCAGGAGAGCCTGGACTTCCAGGAATCGTGCCTCAAGTACAAGTGAGCGCAAGCGGTTGTCGTGTTTGCCCACCAGGACCGAAGGGACCCCTCGGTAAGATCTCCTCATTTATAATAATTTTAGTCTACAAAACTTAATAAGATTTTTACAGGATATCCTGGACAACCTGGACCACAAGGGTTGCCAGGAC